TGGTAATTTTCACAGTTTTTCGTAAATGAAAATAGCACGTGGAAGGCACGGGGAAATCCGGTTGTTCCCTGTCAGTACTACATTTCTTTCTATCGTTGGTAAGAGTCACGACGAGACTTGTAGCTCAAAACTAGTCACAAAAACAATAACCACTGGACAATGTCACTGTCAAATGATAAGCCGGTTTAATGGCACTAAACGTTCACCAAATATACCGCGCAGGTAAGTACTGCATATAAGCAATTTTCAAATTGCTGTACGGAACAGATGGGATCCCCGTTGACGTGCTGGTTACGCAAGAAGTGGCACTGCTATTCGTGTACTATTAAGGACCTGATATTTCTTTTTATCCCTTATCAACTTTTGACGAAGTTGTGACATTATTCTTACGGAAACTTAAATGATTTTCGTGGTATTTTATCAGAAAATATTGTGACATGAGCTTCATAACTTGTACTCTTCTCCAAGTATAATCAGAATCATCAAGTCGAGGAGGATGAGGTGGGCAGGTCATGTAGCACGAATGGGGGAGTCAAGGAATGCGTATAGGATATTGGTGGGAAAGCCAGAAGGAAAGAGACCACAGGGAAGACCAAGGCGTAGGTGGGCGGACAATATTAGAATAGATCTTAGATAGGATGGAATGGTATGGATTAGATAGATCTGCCTCAGGATAGGGACCAGTGGAGGGTTCTTGTGAACACGGTAATGAACCTTCGGGTTCCATAAAATGCTGGGAAATTCTTTAGTAGCTGCAGAATTGGCAACTCCTCAAGAAGGGCTCAGCTCCATGAGTAAGTAAGTATTGTGACATGTAGATCCGAAGTTAGGCAACGACCGCGAAACAAGCAATTAGGCAACGGCACGAAGACAGTAACAGGGGAATCATATTTTCTATGTGGTCGGCGCCGACGCCTACGCACACTTGAAGAAACGCCAAGGATTTTCATAAAAGATAAAACCATCTTCTTATCAGGGAGAATGTTATACGAGGACTATGACCACAAGGGTTTAGTTGAAAAAAAAATCTCTGGTCGTGAACCTCAAGTGTTTTGGCACCAAGAAGAACTGTTTGACGGTAAACCGACAGTCGTAAAATGACTTTATCTTTGACTTAGAGCAGTGTCTTGAGCTTTGAGAAGGTAGTTAGAACATTAAGAGGTTGGTGTAAGATGACCGCCAGACTGCGGGGATGCGATCCCGGGAGCGTCTACTGGTGAAGACGCAGGAGACAGAAGAGTTAACACGCGCTGTAGTGAATTGTAAAGTGTGTGAACTAGCGATAGCCCTTTGGTTACTTGCAGTTACCATCTGCAAATGTTCAATAAATCCAACTACCAATCCAAACCCCGTCTATAATCATTCATACACGTGACAATATCTAACCAGACAGAAGTACAACCATAAATGTTTCAGAAGTAAGATCGTTGAGAGCTTACACGGAATGAAACTTTATGAGAAAGAAAAAAGTTACGAAAGAAACGCACTTACACAACTTGGAGAAGGGATAGCTTCGTCAGTATAGTGATTGAGCTATAGACTGGCCGAAGGAGGTAACTAGGTTTGATTCCCAGGAGGGTTAAAGATTCTTGTCTTCTCTACGACGTTCAGGCAGGCTGTGGGGTCCACCCAGAATGTTAAGCGGGAAGTTTTGAAGTTGATCACTCAACTCCACGTCGTGCCGATGTTAAGAATGATGGAGCTATACTGTTGTTTTCCGGTAAGGGGACAGGTTGCAGGTTGGCAGGGCGAGCGGTTCGCTTAGGAGACAGTGCGGGGTGTCTGAGTACTGCAACTTGAAATAAACTAATTCTTTAGTTGAAACCAAGCTTATTTTCGTGTGATAACACCGGTGAAAGGCCAAGTTACAATCTTACGATATTTCGTATCGGTACAGTCTTTTCATCAGATTATGTATCCATAGGGCCGCGCAATAGCTCAAGCGGTTAGTCTCTGCCTTCCCACCGCGGTGGCACGGGTTCGATCCCGGGTCTGGTCAAGTGGTATTTGTGGTGAACAAAGTGACGCTGGGGCAGGTTTTCTCCGAGTACTTCGGTTTCCCCCGCCAATCTTCATTCCACCAATGCTCCACAATCACTCTCACCTGTCATCTGGGATTGGTACAATAGGTCAGAAGTGGCCGCAGTGCAAGGGACTTGGTCCCACCCCACTAGTAATAATAATAATAATAATAATAATAATGTATTCATAGGGATTACTTTTAACGTTTACCTTCCTTCACTTGTAGGTATATTACTCTATATAATACATCAATCCATTCATAAAACAATTTCCAATATACCATAAAATATATCATATCAGTTACCTTATAGGACAGTTCATTACATACCAGGTATCACCATATACAATACCTCCACTCCCACGTACCTCTTCATGGCACAGTGTTTAATTAACTAAACAAAGGGATACATGTACCGTTTGTCCTACGTCACACAGGCCTACCTATATCTATATAACTGTTTCAACGAAGCAGGGTATTCATTGAGAAAATGATATTCGTCCAGATGGTGTGTCTGGGTATGAGGAAGCAGGCGTCAGGAGGGGGGTGGGTCGAGGGAAAGTTAAAACGTGCAGTCTACCTCGCTACAGAGCGTGTCCTAATATCAATGTACGAACGATATATGTGATCTTGTTTTCGGTGTGTTGGAGTTCAATTCTCATAGTTTTGACTATAAACAGTAACATTTTCGGAGACGTGTCGTGTAGTCAGGAATAAATTCACGGACGTTTCGGAGTAACGTAATGCTTCCGCCTTCATCGTCAAAAAGTAAACAAAGAAAGGAACCAACAAGAAACAGGTGGCGTCAGTAACCCAGCAATCGACTTTTAGACAATTATTTGACTCGAAAGGAGATTGACTTCATTTCGAACATTTCTTCTAGAATGATTGTCTTGAATTTTCGTCGTTCCTTGTGTCCTTCCTGAAGACTGTACTCAATAGGAATACAACACATTATACTACTACTACTACTACTACTACTACTACTACTAATAATAATAATAATAATAATACTGGAGGCACGCGGTAGCGTAGTTGGTTGAGGAATTATGCTACAAGCTAGAAGGTCGTGGGTTCAAATCCCGATGAGGTCACTGGATTTTTTTCAATTGGCCTAATCCTTCCAGCCGCACTATGGCCCTGGGGTCGACACAGACTCTAACAGAAATGAGTACCAGCAATTAATTAAATAATTTACGTGGGGAGTAAAGCGCGGCAGGCGCGTAAAGCTGACAACCTTAGCGCCATCTTTGAGCCGATTGTATAGAAAGTGTGGGACCGTCAATGTCTCACAACCCTATGGGCCTCCACGGCCTGTTACAGGGATAGCTTTACTTTTTTTTTACTTTTACTTTAGATATATAATTTATTTATCTTTCAGATTTACACGTTTAACATGCTTGACTCTTGTAGAAAATAAATAAATAAATAATTATTATTCATTGAAAGTTTTATAGGAGAAATATCACCACAAAATCCGCTTGCAGACTCGCTAGAAGGAAGAGAGTGTAGCACTGAGATACACCATCAAATGGAGTTATGCTGTTTCCTTCTCGCGTGTTGCTTACTAGACTCACTATTCTACATTGAAGATGGAGGCAATACATTGCTCCGACGCGACGCTTAACTTCTACCAGAATATACGGCATCACATATTAGAAGATAATACTCCTCACGGTCACTGCTGTAAGGATCTCAATTCCAGTGCAGTTTAAGAGCAACCAAACGTACATCATTACGTCATCCTTTGCCCCAGAACCTACCGAATGCAGGTACGACCCTGTCCTACGTCATCCAGGGTTAATAGTTTTCGCGATAGAAACTCATTATCCAGAATTCAGGATATGAAGAAACAAAACGAGGTAGAAAATATCCTGAATATATTAATGTATTAGCGACTCAAGAAACCCAATAGCCCAGTCAGTGCAGCGACGAGCTATGGTTTGAGAGACCGGGATTCAGTTCCTCGCTGGGGCAAGATATTTTCTATTTTTCGCATCATCCAGTCCGACTCTGACGCACACCCAGCCAGTGGGATCATTTCCCTGGGGATAAATCTGCCGGGACGCGAAGCAGAGAACTCACCTCTGTCTAAAGCCGAATTCAGGAATAGTAGAGTTTTATCTCCACTAACCCATACGTCTTCATGGCGTGGTACTTAATTACTCGTAATTAAGCACAGGGACAACTTTACGTTTTATCGGAAATTCAGACTATAAAATGTCAAATGACTGGATGATTGTGAATAATGAATTGTAAAGAATGTGGAGCCGGTCACGGTAGCCGCGCGGTCTAAGGCATGAACTGTTTCGTTCGCTTGGAAACCGGGATCGTGGGTTCGGATCTGTTTCCTGTGAGGTACGGACTGAATTCATATATATTATTCTTATACATTGCCGGTCACAGTAGCCGAGCGGTCTAAGGCATGTACTGTCTTCGCTCGCTTTGAAACCGAGATTGTGGGTTCGAATCCCACTCAGGGAATGGATGTTTAGTTTGTGTGTGTGCGTTTTTCTGTGTTTGTGTACAGGTAGAGGCCTTGCGACGAGCTGATCACCCGCCCAAGGAGTCCTACCGAATGTGTAAGATCTAGAAAAACCGAAGTGAACAGAGAAGTTCATGGAGGTAGGCCTAGGCCCACTGGGGCTGTAGTGAAAAAAAAAATAATGTGGAACAACGACGCTGTCATGGCCTAATTTAAGGTAAGCCTACTATCCAGACATTTATCGGGAGAGACATAGGAAATCCATGAAATACACGTAACGATAATCAGACGAGATTCGAACCGAGAATGTCTCGAACTTATGTCAGAAGTATCCCCGCTGGAGCTAACTTGCTGGGTAAGTATCATTGTTTCATTGTTTTCATTCGAAGGATTGTCTGTACATGCGTCCCTCTTGTCTGCAGTGGCTGGCGATATGTAGGAGGTGGCAGAGGGAAAGGCATCAGGACTATAAACTCAGGGACACTTCACCACGGGTAACACTCGTGGTGACTGCGGCTGCTGAACTGTTGAGTGGGCTCACTTCTCACGACACTCGAAGATTCAGGTGACTATCTCACGTGTGACACTTTCTTGTGTGAGTGTTTTGTTATACTGGATACAGTTTCCTGCAATGAGTGGAGGTGGTGCTGTTTACTGGTTCTTTCATATGATTATGAAACATTTTCTTAAGGAAAACATAAATTACGAAAAAAAGTGTTCATGATATCAGACAAAAGAGACGTAGTAAACGGAGGCGGAAGAATATTGTATGACAGTGAACTTTAAGAATGTAGTCCTCTGGAATATGGCGCCGTGTAGATATTGTGTTAACCAAAGTTTCGGAGGAATATATCGCTTCCATCTTCAGGGTAGAAGGAAAAAATAAGAAAATCCGCGAACGAGAAACCAGCGTGAGCAGGTGCTAAGAGACTTCTTTCTTCTTTTTTTTTCTACCCTGAAGATGGAGGCGATACACTCCTCCGAAACGTTGGTTAATACAATATCTACACGGCTCCACATTCCAGAGGACTGCTTCCTTCATAGTCACCGCCGTGAAAACCTCAAATCTTAGACAGTGGACCATTAAAAAAATTACAACCCATATGTTGCTGTTACAATTGTGAGATAAAGGAAGAAAACATGGGCGGAGCATGTAGCATGCATGAAAACTATGAGAAATTTATTTAACATTTTGATTTGACGATACGATTTGGGAGCCTTAGTATGATAGATAATATGAAATTGATCTTATATAAAGGGAGTGTGTGGAAATGGACTGAATTTAACTGGCTTAGGATAAGTTCAAATATCGTCCAATAGTTTAGGAGGTAGGTGACTTCTGTATGCAGGGGCTGACTTTTGAGATTTTTGGAGGACGAAGTGATACAACAGCAGGGTTTCCTCCAAGTCTCTTCGCCTTTCCTCAACTAATCATTACTTCAGGTGCTACTTCACGTGCATCCACCAAAGGAGTTCTGCGATAGCCCTTACCGGGCAGCAGGTTCTAATGTATTCGATCTGCTCTGACCGGACATTTGTGTGGTCACAGTGCAAGAGAGTTGTTCTTTGCCAGGAATAAAGTATTTTCAGTGACGGGACCGAACTGGGTATTATTATTATTATTATTATTATTATTATTATTATTATTATTGTTGGAG